TTGCCTCCAGGGCTGGGGCAGGGTGGAAGGTGTAGGCAGGTGATCACACACCAGGGTTCCACTTGGTCCGAAAGCCACATCTAGGCTTTTTACATGAGCTCTGGGAATACGATTCAGGTCTCCATGGTTTTGAGACAAATACATCACCAGCTAAAACCTTTCTGGTTTTGAGACAAGGCAAGGGTTCCCGGCCCTACACTCAGCTCAGGCTCATTCCCCAGACATAAGGAAGGATTGAGGTTCAGAGAGAGGTGTTTCTGGGCTGGAGGAGAGGCGTTGCAGAGATGGACACAGCCCTGTGAGCTCCATTCCATTCTGCACCTAGGGCTCCAGACTGCCTGTAATTTTATATCAGGAAACCCTGAACCTGGGTCCTCTGGACTTGGGGGCCTCTTTGTTCTCTTGAATCTGCTTTAGGACTCAGACTTTTTCTCTCAGTTGCAGGACCCCCCCCCCAATTCCTCAATAAAGCAAAAACACCAAGTCCTCATGCTGTGATAGGGAGTGGGGATGTTTCTCTTTCTCTGCCACAGCAGAATCAAGTCGGGCACTCCTGGAAGTCTTGTTTTGGAGCCAAGGACAAGCATTTGAGTACACTGGGTGGTTTCTCTGATTTGTCAGCCAACTAACTGAGTCAATGATCCAAGGTATGAAAAGTTTTCGCTTTATGATAAGACAGACCTGCCCCTCAGCTTTGTCTCTTCCCAGCTGTGTGACCTTGCTCAAGCTGCTTACCCTCTCTGAATCTGTTTCCTCACCTGTAGAGTGGGAGGGTGGATCGGCAGTGAAGGGTAAATTAGACAGCCCGTAGGTGCTCCGTAGATGACAACGTTCATTATCGTGTGGGAGAGAACCAAGACGAGAGGGGGATGCCGTGCAGGCTTCTTCCTGCAGCTGTTGCTCAAATGCATGATCTCTGCTCCAAGTCTCTCAGTGACCTGGTATTCAGAGTCAACACCAAAAGCAGCAGCTGCCTCCTTACCTTCTCTCTCTGCCTCACCTGCAGCCACACCCTGATAGCTCCAAGGCCCCAGAAAGCTCTGCAGATCCCAGACCCACCTTCACCCCAATGATCACCTTCAGGAATGCACCCCTGTGCACATCTTCCCGCCTTACTCTCATCTCCTGTTCTGACTCAGTGCTTCTCTCTTACGGGAGCCTCCCTGGGCCACTCAGGCGTCAGTGGCGACTCTCATCTTTTCTAACCCCTCCTCGGTCCTTGCTTCATTTCTCCCACAACCCTACCGTCACTCAGCTCCTTTTTAGTTGACAGAATACTGTCCCTCAGAGTACAGACTTTGGCCTTGTTGGGTGTATTCATGGCAATCCCCGGTGCCCAGGCCTAGAAGCAGGTATTTGATGTTTTTGAATGAATACTTTAAAGACTAAGGGGATTAAATTCTGGCTGGTGCAGTTAAGGGAACAGTCCTGTGGCATAAAGACGCCCTCACTTTCCTCTTCCCAAATGACAGAACTAGACTAGATCTCCAGGAGACCATGAACCGATGGGAATTTAACATATCAGTGGGTGAGTCCCTTCTGCAGAGTTTTTGGAAGCCAGGGTCTCTAGCTTTTTGTAGACATTAAGAGCATACCTGACCCCCCTCCTCCTCCATGAAGCAATGAGCCCTCTCCTTGCTCTGACATTTCCTGGTTGGTTCTAACAAACTGGAGTCTGCTTTCTAAGAACCTCCAGCAATGTGACATTCTGTGACTATTCAAGACTCAGCAAGCAGCCTGTGGCCCTGGCTCAGGGTAGGGAGGAGCACTCAGGAGGAGCCTAGGCAGGGTCAGCGGGGTACACAGAAGGGGACACAAAAGCCTCCTTCTGTATGATTTGTCAGGTTTTCGTTCTTTCATTTAAAAGAAAACATTTAGAACAGGCATATGAAAATGTGAACAATAGTGAATGCTGGAGACTAGGTACAAACGTTTATCACCAAGAGCACTGAGTTTTTGTATTCAAAAAAACCTTCACATAGATTTGGGGGGATAAGATTATTATAGCTGGTAGTTGGCAATAGAGAGTCCATTTTGAAGGCCTGGGGACTTGTCCTTTGAGTATTTTTGCAGTGTGTGTGTATGAACAGCTGTGTCTGGACTGGAAGCTAGAGCTGTCAGAGCTCTGGCTCCTCCTCGCAGGTCTCAGTTTCCTGCTCTCCTGGGGAGTGGGGAAAAGTTGAGGGGCCCCATGCTGGGGTGAAGCTAATTCATTAGTGACACCTCAACAGGGACCAGGCTCCTGCAGTGCCAGCGTGACTCATTGAGATGATTGCTTCACTGCCAATCTGCGTGGGCCCTGAACGCAGCAGCACATTTTACCTTTACCCACTGAGAAGGGCCTGGTGGGAGGTAAAGGTACAGGATCTACCCAGAGCAAGAAAAAGACCTAGAGGAAGCAAAAGGCTGGCCCCCATGTCCCTAACCCCAGGAACAATGCCTGGCTGGTACTGAAGCAGAGGCACTCATAGGGCTTCTGGGATCCCCACAGAGTCCAGGAGGGCTGCCTGGCGCTACAGTGCCAGCCTAAGCATGTGGTGAGGGTGAGCTGACTGGGTTCTCTCCTCCACATCAAATGTCCCTTGGTAAAGATGCTGAGGGGATGTGGGGGGTTGGGAGGTATTCATGCCTGGCTGGGTTTGCCCTGGATTCCTGGTATGTGAGTGCCCACCTCCTCTGAGAAATCCTCTTGTATAAGGAGAAAGGGGGGTGTTGGGCTCAGGCTTAACATGGTCTGAGAACTTGAGGAACTTGAACCTTGTCTAGCTGGGGCTGAGAATCTGTCCATCTGGGGTCTGATGTCTGGGCTTGGCTTTTTCTAGACATAGATCCCTTACCTTGGCTGGAGTCCTCACACAATTTTATTAGTTCCCCCAGGATGGAGGATGTTTCCTGGTAACAGCCTGCCTTTGTCTGTGTCTCCCATCATCTGCTCACCCCTAAGAAACCCCATGCTTGAAGACCACTGCTGTGGCCCTGCCCTCTGTTCCTTTAGCTACAAATATCTATTAAGGCTCAGAGAAGCAGCAGCCCAGGAGTGAAAAAGGATTTGCTGGATGGTTTCATTCCTAGGAAATTCAAGAGCAAGCCAAGTTGACCCATGATGATAGAAGTCATGATCCAAGTTGCCTCTGGGATGTGGAAGAGGCTTGAGGGACATGAGGGCTGGGGATGTAGTTCAGTTAGTAGGGTGCTTCGCCTAACATGCTCAAGGCTCTGGGTTTGGTCCCCAGCAGCACATAATCAGAACATAGTGGTGCACACCTGTAATCTAGCACTAGGGAGGTGGAGGACCACAAATTTGGTGACCAATTGAGTTGGAGGCTAGCCTGAAGTATGTGAAACTCACAAAGGAACAAAAGCTTAAACAAAAGGGGGGGGGGAGCCCGTGACAGCACAGGCACACACACTTGTCGAAATACACTCAGTATCACCGAGGGACACTCCCAGGCCTGCCTTCTTTATGTCATTACTTGTTATTTTCCAGATAGATTCTTATTATGCTGCCCAGTCTGGTTGACCAGTGTGAGTCACCCTAGCCCCCTTTTATTGCCTCCATTCTGAGACAAGGGCTTGCTATATATCCTGTTAACCTTAGGTCACTATATACCTTAGGCTGGTTTTGAACTTGCAAAAATCTGCCAGTTTCTGCTCCAAAAGTTCGGGATTACAAGCCTGAGCCACCACACCTGGGTTGGTGCTGTGTTGTTGCTCAGGCTGGCTGACCAACTAGGATTATAGAGGCGAATCAGTGTGTCTTCCTTTCTTCCATTGTCTTAATGTTAGAATTGTCATGGCAGTAGAGATGGTTTGGAAGATACTAAGGTCTGTCCCCACAGCCAGGTCACAGGAGGCAGGGAAGGAGGTGTGAGATCTGCTGACTGAGTTCTCAGGGTGCCTCTTGTGGCTACACAACCTTCTAGCAGGCTTGCCTAATCCCTGGAGGCTGCGTTCCTCCTGGTTTCTATGGTTTAATAGTTCCTTTCTCCTAGTCTTTACTTTGTGAGCCAGAAACTGTTGAGGAAAAATTCACTGGCAGGGTGGGGTGGAATGAAGTGTTTTCTTTTACTGGGAAGTTACATGGTTAGGAGTTGGGGCTTTTGAGTCATACTGGCTTCAGATGCCTTTTTTCCTTCTCGTCAACAGGCTTAACTCCAATCTCTTTGAGCTTCACTCAGTGCTTCTATCTTGAAAATATGGGTAGTAGCTTTTAGCAAAATGCCAAGTGCGTGGAACGTTGGCAGACTGGAAAGGGAGGAGGCAGGTCAAAAAGGCTGTTGGTGAGAGCCAAGGTGATTATCGTAGGTGGCACTTAAAGGTGGTCAGGACACTTGTTCCAGTCCTCCGCCCACCACAGCCACACACAGACCTTGGGCATCCTCGGAGGGTCCGGGATAGGAGATGCGAGTTTGGTGTGTGAGAACCCAGCGAGGGCGGAGTCAAGCACAGCCCCGCAAATCCTCAGATCTAAAAAAGGCCAGAACATAACATTGTTCCTGGTTAGTCCAGGATAATCTTGAAGTGACCCCCCCCACACACACACACACACTGGACGACTGGTCACAAGCCGCTGGACGCGAATGAAAAAGCAAGTCCTCTGCCAGTGTTCACACTCCTCCATTTCTTCAGTCCCAGGTTTCTTCCTACTGGGCCCATCTGCCTCGAGGCGCAAAGAGTGAGGCAGGTGCAGACAGTGTCGGACGTCGGGGCTCAGCGCTAGCCCCGTGCTAGGTTTGCACTCAGCGGCTACCTTCGCTGGCGCTAGCTCCGGGAAGGGGTAGCTAGCCAGGGACCCGCTTTAGCTTCGGGACCCCACTCTTCCCGGGCCGCCTTGGCCCCGCCCCACCCCGCCCTCCTCCTGCCTCATTGGCAGCCGCACGCGCGTCGGAGGTTGCCAAGGCGACGGGTCGCTAAGCTGCGAGTCAGCTCGAACTCGAGCCAGTCGGCCTCCGGCGGAGGTAGCGGGGGAGGCCAGAGGGCGGGCGACCGAACACGGTGCCTCCTCCCGGCACGGCCCCCCTCCCGGCACACAGACAGGCCGGGGCGGGGGGCCCCCGAGGCCGGAGCGGCCCGGGCCCCGTCGGGGCGGCCAGGGCGGGGCGATGCCGGGCGGTGGCAGCGGCGGCCCGGGCTGGGGCCCGTGACCATGGGTATCGCGGAGTCCACGCCGGACGAGCTGCCGTCGGACGCCGAGGAGCAGCTGCGCAACGGCGAGCAGCAGTTGGAGCTGAGCGGGCGGCGGCTGCGGCGGCTGCCTAGCGCCGTGTGCGCTCTGAGCCGCCTGCAGAAACTGTATGTGAGCGGCACCGGACTGCGCGAGCTGCCCGAGGAGATCGAGGAGCTGCGCGAGCTGCGCATCCTGGCGCTCGACTTCAACAAGCTGGAGCGCCTGCCCGACGGCCTGTGTCGCCTGCCGCGCCTCACGCGTCTCTACCTGGGAGGCAACCGGCTGCTGGCGCTACCACCCGACTTTGCGCAGCTGCAGAGCCTGCGCTGCCTCTGGATCGAAGGCAACTTCCTGCGGCGCTTCCCGCGGCCGCTGCTGCGCCTAGTGGCGCTGCAATCGCTGCAGATGGGCGATAACCGGCTGCGCGCGCTGCCCGCGGAGCTGCCGCGCATGACGGGCTTGCGTGGCCTCTGGCTCTACGGCAACCGCTTCGAAGAGTTCCCGCCCGCGCTGCTGCGCATGGGCCGGCTGCACATCCTCGACCTCGACCGCAACCGCCTGGGCGGTTTCCCTGATCTACACCCGCTGCGCGCGCTGCGAGTTTTCTCTTATGACCACAACCCGGTCACTGGCCCTCCGCGCGTAGCGGACACCGTTTTCTTAGTTGGTGAGGGCGCCGTCGAGCGCATGGCTGAGCGCGACGAGCCTATTCCGCGGCCGCCACCCCGGCGTCCAGTCCGGGCTTTTGAGGATGAGGAGGAAGAAGACCTGCTCATAGGATGCACAGGACCCAGGGCCCTGGGGCCCGCCAGAGACAACCTCCGAGCCTTGGAAGCCCCTCCAGAATTGGGCACGTGAGCCTCTGCCTTGAGTGATGGGCTTGGCCACTCTAGAAGGATGGGCTCTAGGAGGCCGTGGCTGTGTGGATATAGGATGTCGCTGGGCCTCTTACTTGGGACAGTGAAGGACATCATTGAGAGAGCAGCCTGGCACAGGCGGGCCTGAGGCTATCTTCAGACGCTCCTGGGCAGTAAGAAAGACTCCCTGGGCAGACCTCTGGGCAGTTTTCAGACCAAGAAGTCTGGGATAGAGCCACTGATGGTACAACAGATGAGCTGGGTCTCACCTGGAACCAGGGTCACCACTATCCACAGAATCATCCCACTCTGACACTGGATGCACTGGATGCCCGGGTGTCTATTGTTTTCATCTGGGGTTTGGATTTCCTAGGCCTACCCTAGCTGTTGCTGGAGCCATTACCTCTGGGGTGGAGTGTATAGAGGCAAAACTTCCCCTCGTGTGTTTGTGTGTGTGTGTGTGTGTGTGTGTGTGTGTGTGTGGTGGTGGTGGGAGGTTCTGGCCAGAGGTAGGGATAGGGACTCTGTCCAGAAGCAGGACACAGATTGTGGCCTCACACCTTAGCTTCCCTCAGCTCTCTACCCAGTTCCCCCGATGTCTGTATGGAGCACAGAAGACAGAGTCTCCATCGCACCTTTCCTTCTGATCTCTTCTCCCAGCATGTGCCGAAAGATTGCTGGGTAAAGAGATCTCCCTCTCCTACAGCCTGTGTCCTCAGTTGTCGAGTTTGAAAAGAAGCCACTGTGCCTCTAAGGCCTCCTGCCCCGAAGAGAGAGGGGTTCTGCACTCTAGGAGGCTGCTCAGGGCCTCTCTACTGCTTGCACTCTCCATTTCCTTACATGGGCACAGCCAGGGTGGCTGGCACGGCATGGGGCACTGGACAGGCACCATGTGCCTCTACTCCGTCACCAGGGACAGCCTCCGAGTGGGTGAGGAGACAGGCTCTGCAATTCCCAGGGCCAGATCCAAGCAATAACAGGAGGAAGGGGCCAGAGGACACTCAGGGACACTGTCAGGGGCTGGAGCCCCAGAAGGTAGTGTTTTCTTTAGGAAGAAGAAAAACAAAAAAACAAACAAACAAAAAAACAAAAACAAAAAACACTGGTTGTAAACATAAATTATATTTCTTGGAGAAAGAATGTGTGTCTCCCACATGTCTGTTTATTTATAAGCCCAGGAGCACCAAGTTCCACTGCGGTGGCTACACCTCCCCCATCCTTACGCCCTGACTGTGTCAGAATGACCCTGGCCAACCGTTGTGTCCTTCCTGTCTGGGAAACAAGTGGGGGCTGCAGAAATGCCATTGGCTCCTTGAAGCTGGTCATCTGGCATCTCTGGGTGTTTTCTTCCCCATTCTGGCTCACGCACCCTGGGCTGTGCTGTAGGGGGTCATCTTCCCCTTAGCCTGGTTCTCCCGCCAGCCCGGCTGGCCTTCCTCTGCTGTCTCACCACTACTGGCCCCTCCCACTCACTCTGTGACTGTACTTGCTCCCTCTTTGCCTTTCTCAGCCTGGGTTCCCTCAGCTTTGGCCTCTGTCACCATGGCAACGAGGGCTGATGTCATATGAGGCCGAAAGGTCAGGCTCAGCCCAGTAGCTGGGCTCTGGGTAAGGAAAGGCCTGGGCACAGATTTGGAGTGAGATAAGACTGTGGGTGGAAATAGAAGGTGGGGAGATTGGAAACTGCTTCTTTTACAAGGAATTAAGACTAGTGCAGGTCCCAACTGTAGCTGTGTCTTTGCTGAGGTGCCACTGGGCTCTGGGTCTTCTTGGGGTCTGGTAACTTGGGAGTAAGGATTTAAGAGGCGAGGTGATCAGATGGGTTGGGTCAGCAGGGACTGACCTCTTGACCCGGAACTCGTCAGGTACAGAGGGAACCCCTGTGGACCAGGTCTAGCCCCCTCCTTAGTTCTGCTGTTGGCTGAGTGATCTTGGTCCCCTGGGCCTCAGTTTCTCCATCTGTAGCTGAGGAGTTGGTCTGACGCTCCCACCCAATACTCTACTCACTGCTTACCCCACCCTTTTTGTGGCGCCCCAGCATCCTGAGGTGTTCAGGTCCCCCCCCCCTTTTCAGTTTGGCTGTTTACCGACCAAGCTGTAGCTACTGAGGCTGTCTGAGGCAGATCCAGTTTCTTCTGGAAAGTTAGTTAGGTTAGAGTTCCTGCTGATGCCTGACACACGGTTACAGATCTCTCTGAGGAAACGAGGGCATCTGAAGAAGGAAGCTCTGTTGGCAGCTCCCTTGGTGGTGGGGAAAGCATTGTGTGAGGGAGCCCCAACATCACCTCCACCCTTACTTGGCCCCTGGAAAGAAGGATAAGATGTGTGACACTTTTGGCCTCAGCCTCCTCTGTGGTCCTCACACAGTCTCAGGACAGTCAGAGGTGGGATGCATGGGGAGGGACAGGGAAGCTTTAAGGGTTTGGGTGTGTTAGGCCAATGCAGAGGTCAAGAGAGCTGATGATTACAGCAGAAGGAAAGGCCGAGGGAAGAGTAGGGCAGAGGAGGTGGGAGGGCAGGAGACAGGTTGAAGAGAGTCTGTGATGAGCCCATTGGCCTGGGGACTCCTAACCCAGCGCTCAGTTCATGCTACAGACGAGCTACTCCATCCTTGGCTGGCTGGCAAGTTGGCAAGAGAGATGGATAAGAGTTATAGCCTGTCTCCTCCCCTCTGACCCTCGAGTCTCCAGTCTGGTTCCCAAGCCTCCACAACAGTTGACTTCTTGACTGGCAGGCAGGACAGACACTGGGATGTCAAGCAGAGGCCTTTCCAGGCATCATTATTGCCCTGGTGAGAGCTTGGTAAAGGGGGGAAATGGGGTGACGGGGAACCCGAGACCCTCTCCAGGAGACCCTCCCCTCCTTTCATGCAGCCACACCGGCTTTGTCATCGATCCCAAAGCTTCCTCAAGACATCGGGGCACTGTGACTCTGAAGATGGACATTTATTACCACAGCCAGGCGTGCCACACAGAACATGTATTCAGACAGGGAACCCTGCCCAAGGGCTCACAATCTAAGAGACACCACACTCGCACACGTGTGCACATACAGACACATATACAGACACATACGGGACCCAGACACAGGGAGTGGATGACTTCACAAGAAACATGGGGTGGGGGCTTGGGATGGGGCATCAAGCATGTTCAGATTGTCCTTTGGGCTGTCTTTCTCAGAGAGGGAGAGGTGAGCCCAGAATTCAGGGAGGCCAGTGAGACCTTTGGAAGCAGCGTATCTGGGAGGGACTCGCAGGAGAAAGTGGTCTCAGGCACATGAAGGGATGGATGGGTAGCTCAGAGCAGGCAGAGAGAATGAGGCCCTGTGCTAGCAGCCAGGGTCTGGTACCACTGCTGTACTGTCCCACCTATGCTAAAGCTGTTTGCTGTGTTTACTTCCCCCAGAGAAAAGCTAAACCAAACCCAGGCTGGTTTAGGGTGCCCTTGGAGCTACTTACCTGACCCCAGGACTCCTCCAACCTAGAAGCCAAAAGAAACTGCCTTGTATCCCCTCCCGTATATATGTGAATATTAGGCAGGCACTGTACCTCTGAGCTACACCCCAGCCTGCATACAGCTTTGAGAAGGGATCTTTAAACCACATTATAGGAAGCTGAAGGGGCAGAAGGGGGAAGGGCAGGGAGATTCAGAATGGGGGTACTTAATACAGATTAGGAGGCAGATGCTGGACCCAGATGTGGGGGACCAGAGGGTATGGGACCCTCTTCACACCAGAGTGAGGAAGGGCCCATGGAGTTATGTGGTTCCCCCTTAGTGTCTCTCTGAAGCAGACAGTTTTCCTTCTGCAGTACCCTGAGAACTGGCAGGCCAGCTGCCCTGGGCTGAGCAGGGAGTGGCTGGGAAATTATTGCTTCTTTGTGAATAGAGGACACTAAGGGCCCAACAAAGGACATGGCTTTCCAGAACCACAGATAGGAGGGCACTGGAGTTCAGTCTCTGATGCCCTCAGGTTGGAACTTGCCAATGGGGCTCTTAGATTGGAGAGATTTTTCCCAACCATGGAGAATCAACCTAGACAACAGGGTTGGAGAAAGGCCACAGGTCCTGCAGGCTGACCTACAGCTCAGCCTACCTTTTCTTTCCCCCATCAGGACCTGGAAGCAAACATTGTCCCCAAGTCATAGCAGCTGAGCAGTGATGGTGAGGTAATGGTTGGGGTCCCACCTTGGGGGGCTTTTTCTGCCTATCTGGGATGGGGTTAAGGACCCTCTGGGAAGAGAGGGGTGCATGCCCAGCTAGGTGATCTCCAGGGAAGACCCCAGGAGATCCGTAGGAGAGACCACTACTGCTAAGCATGACACATGCCTGACCCAGCAAATGCAATGTTCCCTGGTGAGTGTGAGATGACAGTCTAGCCCTGAGAGTGGGCTGGAAGCTCAGGCAGGCCCAAGCCACTAAGGGGAAAAATCAAGTCCCAGAGGTGACAGATAGCCCCAGACTCCCCATCCTCCCCACCCCAACTGCTGCTTCCCTTGGGGGAAGAGAGAGAGGGCTGGGACCCACAGAGGAAACAGCCAAGGCCCTACTTTTTCACGATCCTTTATTTATCAGAACAGGCCCTGCCACAAAAAGCAGGGCCCATTCCCACAAAAATATGATTTTGCAAAGAGGAAGATTTTGCTGGCTTAGAGGGTGCATATGGTGGAATTTTTTGTATGGTTCTTTTCCCCTTTTTTTTTTCTTCATTTCTCTTTGCTGTAAGTTTTCTTTTTTTGTGATAGTGGATTTTTGTTTTATTTTTTTTTTTTTATAAAACACTTGCGCTCAAGGACTCAAACACAATACAAACAGCGCCACTGGTTCCCACCCTGGGGCCCAGCTGAGCTGGGAATCCCCTTGGCTTTTTTTTTTTTTTTTTTTTTCTTTTGTGGCTGTTTTCCTTTGTCCCTTCCCTGGCCTCTGGTGCTGGAGGGCAGGTGGAGGGGTGTGCTGGGGCAGGTGGAATTCTTATAGCAGTTACATGGAGAAGATGGTCACAAGAGAGGATACCTAAACAACATAACAACTAGGTCTAGGGTGTCCACAAGACATCAGATGACACTCATAAAGGGGCTTGGGACACAGTGAAGAGACAGATTGGCTCTGGTGGTCCCTAGAGGCTCTGTGGGGTAGGGTGGATGGGCAGGTGGGCCTTGCTCTCAGGTGTCAGTGACAACTTTGCTTTGGGTAGCACCTTCAGAGCCCTCCTGCCTTGATCCCCTAGGTCAGGTGATGGTGGCCTCACAACCTCCCCCATGAGGTAGGTGAAGTATTATTACCATCGTTTTACAGATGGAGAAACTGAGGCCCAGGGAGTGTGGGTGACTTGCCCCAGATCCTAGGATGGTGGTGGCAGAGCTCTGCTGCTCTTCCCACTCTCAATTCCCCCGCGTCCCTGCTTCCCGATTGCCTTAACTGTCCCATACCCAGACTCCTTGTCACCCAGCTGCCTCTTGTGCAAACCCACTCTGCTCTTAGCCCAGCATTTGAAACCTCTTGCTGATATCCCCCACTCCAGCTACATGTGGGTGGGGGGCTGAGGAACTCCAGGCTGGACCACCAGTGTTTCTAGGTAGGGTCTGAGGGAAACTAACTCTGGGGGATGCTCCCTGAGCTGATTGGCTCCCATAAACCCTCTCCCATTCTTAAACCCATTGGTGGAACTTGAGTCCCTCAGATGGCTCTGTGGGAATGCTCAGGGAATTGAGGCAGATGGAATAAAG